ATTTTCTCTACAATTTAATGGTTGTATTTTCCATCCCTTCTAATGAATCAATTATTTGTTTTTTATTGAGTCTGATTTTTGTGGCAGCTGACATTTTTACTGGGATTCCTTCAGGAAGCTGCAGATTTTATTTTCTCTCCTATCCCAAACACTTACTTCTCTGCCAACCTGTTCCAATGAACCTGAACTACAGTAACTGTGATGACGATCTCACTTAGACCAAAGTACTCTCTGTTGTCATTGTTCAGTTGCTAAGTCATGTCTGACTCTTTGCGACTCCCTGGACCATAGCATGCTAGAATACCCCCCACCCATCCTCCACTGTCTCCTGTAGTTTCTGGTGTGAGGAGCTCGTCTTCCGCCGGCATATCTTTTAGCCTTTTGGTACTGTCCATGGAGTTTTCTTGGCCAGCATACAGGAATGGGTTGCCATTTCCTTCTCCAGTATCAGAACTCTCCACTAAGACTTGTCTGTCTTGGGTGGACCTTCATGGCTTAGTTCAGAGGTTCCCAACCAGGGGTGCTTGCCGCCCCTGGGGGTGCGAGACAATATTCCAGGGGGTCGAAGACTTGGGTTTTCAAAAATATAGTGAATATGCATAATTCATTGCCATTATTTCAAACTTTTGTAGGGGTGCGAGAATATATCAGAAGCATTCTATGGGTACGGGATACAGAAAAGGTTGTGAACCACTGGCTTAGTTCATAGGTTCTTTGAGCTGTGCAAGTCCCTTCAACATGATAAGGCATGATCCATGAAGGGCTGACTCTCTAGTCTAGATCATACTAAACTATACCTCCAAGCCAATATGGCCTAGGATAAAGGAAGCGTGGAGTTATAATTCAGTAATATATAGAAGCACAGGCAGAGATAGAGAATCTGTGATCCCCTAGATGTTGTTCCCTTTCAATCCTATCAAGTTTATACAACTGATCAGTGAGAGTTGTAACACTACTTTTTTTTTATTTCCAAAGCAGTTTTACCTAATTTCTGAACATCTATCTATCCTTCACATCTTATCTTGTTTGGATAGTTTGTGAGTCTGAACATGATACAGTATCATCTTCGAGACTTGACTTAGAGACTTAGAGGTACTTGGAGGTATGGAACCCTCTTCATTGCATGCATATGAGGAATTGTGTATGTGTGTGTGTGTGTGATCCTATGGGCCAAAGGCAGCCTAAAGAAAACTGTCATGTCAGAATTTGTTAACACCAGAGAAACAATTAAAGTCCTTAGGAATGTTCAAAGATTGGGTGTCAAACAAGGAAGCGTTTGGAAGAAAATTGCCACCAATTTTAGCATTTAATGCAATTTATTCAATAAATTGTCTATGAGCCTTTCTTTTGTCACTCCCCCCCCCGCCAATAACATCTTTTAAATACTTGGGAGTGTTACTGTTGGGTTTTCAAGTTTTTGGAGAGCAAGGTTCGTCTGCTGGAACCATCTGCCTTTCTTCAAAGAAACTGGGTAAATTGAGGAAAGATTCTCTGATTCTTAGAAGTTTATAATAATTGCATTGTTCCATTTTTAGCAGTTAAAGATTTCCAGTGAACACTAATTCACTATCACCCTCTAGCCATCACTAGGCATCTCAGATATCGGGTATGAGAAAAGTCAAGACCTCCAAGGCAGGAAATATCTTTCTTCAGACAAATCTCAGTCCAGTGTTACTGAAACTCTAACAAAAGTAAGACAGAGCTTGCAAATGCCATAAGTGAGGATTTGAGTCCATCATCTCAGCGATAAAATAGGCACTTCAAAGGAGGGGAAAAACTACCTCCCCGCTCCCTCATGTACACAAACTGCAGGTCTTCTGTTCCCAAAGCTGCTAAGATTCATAAATATTAAAGCACCATGAGCTCGGTGCTGGAGAAAGATTTAATACAGTCCTGCCCCTCAAGGGGTTAACCCCCCTCCCCCCCTGCTGCGTGGATATTATTGCTGGTGCGGTGGCATGGAGCCACTGCTGTATAATCTGATGAACTCTTTTATTAAATTTCACAGGCCTGTCTTCTTTATTAAAATCTCCCAGAATGCATAGAGTTTCTGTCATATCAAACACAGAAAATGTGTTTGTGTGTATGTGTGTATGAGAGGAGAGGCGTGTGGGCATTCCTGCTCCCACACACTCACTTTTGGAATATTGCCAGAAACATGATCTGTGTCAAAAAAGAAAAAAAAGTTGGGCGGAGTGTGGAGCAGTCAACCAACAGGCAAAATTTTGAGGAGGAGGAGGGTCCTCCGAATCTGAGTAATATTTTTCCAGGGTTGTAGTGTGTTTTCTTAAAAAAAAAAAAAAAAGGAGGTTATACTCTTAACATACCAGACAACTTCCTCCTCCTTACATTTCACAATTTATCCTGCTTGGCATTCCAAAAATCTGGCTGTCCCAAATGGTGTGAACAGAGTAAATTATTTTCCAGCTAAGAAGAGAGATGCTGTTGTCCACTACAGCCTTCAACAGCTTGGGTTGTGGAAAATCACACCAACCTTGGATATTGGGTTGTGGATTTTGTGGCTCTTGAGAGATTTCCAGCCATTCCAGCCAGGATGGCAAATGGTAAGAGAAGATTTGTTGAACCTCCAATTCTGCATCTCTTTTGATGGGAAAATTCAGAAAGAGGCTGTATTGCTCCCAACTGAGACCCTCTTTTTAAAAAATGGCCCTAGAAAATGGCACTTTCTTAGGCTGATTAACTGCTCAAAACATTTACAGGTAATTCTTGCCTTACAACAGTTCGTTTAGTGACCTTTTGAAGTTACAGCAGCACTAAAAAGAGTGACTTAGAACCATTTTTCACACTTACAATCGTTGCAGCATCCAGGTGGTTGTGTGATCAAAATTCAGACGCTTGGCAACTGACTCATATTTATGACTGTTGCAGTGTTACTAACTTAACAACTACAGTGGTTCACTTAACAAATGTGGCAAGAAAGGTCGTAAAATGGGAAAAATCACTTAACAAATTTCTCCCTTAGCAACATACAATTCCTCAATTGTAAGATAAGTCAAGGACTACCTGTACTGATGTTTTCTTACGAAAGCTAACCCTGGCAAAATATTTTAAAGGACCCGAGAAGCAGGGTGGAATATAATCTTCACATCAAAGAATCCCCAGAAAGTTACAATTTGGTAATCCTATCCCCAATTTGGCTTATTTTTTCTGATGTGGATCAATTGGAGATTTCTTTGGTCTGAATACCTGGCCAGGAAGGGTTACGCTGACTGAGATTTCTGAAAGTCAGTAGTAACATGGGAAAGACTGTTTTAGAGAAAAAAAACAGTGCAATGACCATTGTTGGAAGATCTGAAAGAGCAGGTTAGGGACATATATCATCATGGAGAAAATCTATCTAGATGTGCACTAAAAGTTGACCTTGACTTGATGGCATATAATCAATTAACCAATAATGGCAATCTAGTGAAAGAAGCAATACAATTCTTAAACCCAGAACACACCTTTAATTCTAACCTATCCACTTTAAAAAAAACAACCCCCCCCAAACAAAAACTGTACATATCTGTTTTCAGCATATACTCTTCTATCCTTTTCAAATGAACGGCTGGAGATACAAATCTTTCCATTGCAGCCCCCCCCTCCCCAAACCTTCATCTGCAAAAGTAAATTTAATGCATATAATGAATGCATGAGTCAAAACTAGGCTCCCTCTTTGCCTCCAGCAACCTCCAAAATGCACGTGTCTCGTGTTCCTACATAGGCTCCGTTTAAGCCAAAGCAGACCAGAGATCTCTTTTTCCACTGCATTTTCAACTGGCCAAGCAGACAATCCAGAAAGGAAATAAACAGCATGCGGCCAGGTCTGTCCTACGGCAGCTAGAATTTAAGGCCTTACTATCTAGTTTAACGAAGAGAAGGACGAGGGGGGACATGATAGTAGTGTTCTAATATCTCAGGGGCTGCCACAAAGAAGAGGGAGTCAAGCTATTCTCCAAAGGCCTGAGGGCAGGACAAGAAGCAACAGATGGAAACTAAGCAAGGACAGAAGCAACCTAAAACTAAGGAGAAACTTCCTGACAGTTAGAACAATTAACCAGTGGAACAACCTGCCTCCAGAAGCGCTGAATGCTCCAACACTGGAAGTTTTTAAGAAGAGACTGGACAGCCATTTGTCCGAAATGGTATAGGGTTTCCTGTCTGAGCAGGGAGTTGGACTAGATGACCTCCAAGGTCCCTTCCAACTTTTATTATTATTATTATTATTATTATTTATTATTATTATTATTATTATTATTATTATTATTATGGATCATCGCACAGTCAGCCAGATGTTCAGACTGGATTTGGCATTTTGTCTACCTATCGAGTCCTTACCCAGGACCTGGGATAGGCAGATGTGGATGTTTGATGGTATTACAGATATCGTCGCAGGATGGAAGCAGTTCCTAATAAGGCCGCCTTTTGCAATTGACTAATAGCGAATTTGTCAATGCCAATGGTGTTCAAGTGGTGCTCCAGTATTATTATTATTATTATCGATTATCGCACAGTCAGCCAGATGTTCAGACTGGATTTGGCATTTTGTCTACCTATCGAGTCCTTACCCAGGACCTGGGATAGGCAGATGTGGATGTTTGATGGTATTACAGATGTCGTCGCAGGATGGAAGCAGTTCCTAGTACGGCCACCTTTTGCAATTGACGACTTCTTCTTCTTCTTCTTCTTCTTCTTCTTCTTCTTCTTCTTCTTCTTCTTCTTCTTCGTCTTCTTCTTCTTCTTATTCTTCTTCTTCTTCTTCTTCTTCTTCTTCTTCTTCTTCTTCTTCTTCTTCTTCTTCTTCTTCTTCTTCTTCTTCTTCTTCTTCTTCTTCTTCTTCTTCTTCTTCTTCTTCTTCTTCTTCTTCTCCGTCTCCTTCTCCTTGTTATTGTTATTATCTGGAGTGTTTAGGTTCTTGCAGCAATTTGGATTTGATTTGTAAAAAGGTCTTCCTAGCCTACCATCTCTCTAGAATATAGGTGGTCCTCAAATTATGACCACAGTTTGGACCAGAATTTTTGGTGAGTCACAACCAATTTTATGTCCTTTTTTTGCTACAGATAAATGAATTGCTGCGGCTGTTAAGTGAATCAGGTGGTCACTAAGTGAATCCAGCTCTTCCCCCCCACCACCATTGACTTTGTTGTTAGAATCCTGCTGGGAAAGTTGCGAATGGCTACCACACCAATCCTGGGGACACTGCAATCGTTGTAAATACACGCCACTTGCCAAGCACACAATTTTGATGGCTTGACTACGACAGTCATACGTATGAGAACCGGTTGTAAGTCAATTTTTTTTTTGCAATGCCATTGTAATTTCAAACAGTTGTTAAGTGAACGGTTCTGAGTTGAGGGCTACCTTTGCCTTAAAGCACTTGTGCCTTTTCATGCCTCTGGGTGCCTTCTGGAATTACCATAGAAATCCAGAGATTGATGCAACTGCTTGGGGGGGGGGTTACAGACAGGTTCGAGGTTTGCACTCCCAGCTAGTATGAAGCCCCCTTTAGAGACCAAATTGCTGCACAGTAGGCATAATGATAAGTAACTATTAGGAATGGAGAAATAATTTCACTGGCTGTGCCCCTATTGATGTTTTCCTGAATTTTCTGACACAGTTCACAAATCAATGCATGTAAAAATGTCGGGCTTAAGAAATCAGGGTGTAAAGAGGTTCAAATGATTACAGGTTTTTTTGTACACTAACAGGCTCTCTTTACAAGAGTCTGAACTACTGATAGTCCAGGCAAATTGATAGTAGATAATAGTCAAGGGAATTCAAGGTGGACTGGACTTCGGTCTCTTGTGGGCGCAAAGGAACTCAAGGCTGATGATGATTTTGACCCCCCTCCCTCAGGCTCAGCCTGGTCATATCCCACAAAAATGCTAGATTATGGAAAAATGTGTACCAAACCAAATGATATTTCAGAAATTGTTGGGGAAAATGCAGCTATTAGGAAATATTCTTATAAATGTGCATATATCACAATATGCATATGATGCAAAAATGGGATAGAACAAATTAAAGCAGAAAAAAAATGCAAATCTGAGGGAAAAAAAATCCCTGACAATGTTACTGTTTCCCACAGGCATTATTAGACTTTGTTATAGATTCCTTCGGTCTTCTTCTAAGATGTCAAGCTGGTGGCCATCACTTTATCTTAAGATAATAGATTTTGGGGGCTTTGAACTCTATCCTATGTAATGAAACTGTGCTTCATGATATCTGACTGAATTAATGACCACATGGTTGCAATTCAAAACTCTTAGTATGCACAGAATGATTGTCTGAAAATAAGTTATTTTCTCCATTTCTGTTTTCTTTCTCTTATTTTCTTAGTGCAAATAAGCTACAGGTCCCTACTGTTTAGGTCAGTGGTTCTCAACCTGTGGGTCGGGACCCCATTTGGGGTCGAACAACCATTTCACGGGGGTCGCCAAACAAGGCTGTCCGCCATTTTTTCCCCTTTTCTTTGGCCACGCCCCTGGCACCCGGTGATGTATAAGTGGTTGGGGGTCACCACAACATGGGGAACTGTATTATGGGGTTGCGGCATTAGAAAGGTTGAGAACCACTGGTTTAGGTAGAGGTGCCTTCTACCAGTAGATTTGATCTTATGAGTTAAATATCAAAGTTAGAGGGGGTGGGATTTTGCAATAATTTTCTTTTAATAAAGTTGCTTTGTTGTACAGTACTTTTATAAAATTAAATACTTGCCTCATGATTACTAAAATATATGGCTCCGGATGCCACCAGCAAAGGTTAAAATGCTTTCTTTTACCCCTTTTGAAATGTGCAAATTATTGAACAATAATTATGCAATTATTATTTTGCAACAGTTATACCCAAGAGAGTTTCAGCATATAGGAAGACCTGCACCAAAGTCCCTTTTCCTTGGCTTGGAAGACCTGTCTATTTACAAGGCAGCCTTCATTTCTATGTGAATAATTGGTGATGGTGGCCTTGCAGTAGCTGACACAACTGCATGATTGAGATTTTGGGGGGTTTTTTTCAATCAGGTGATGGCTTCATTTCAAGCAGAGGTTTAGTTCTGAAATTGTTTTGATGGATGTTCTACACCAGATCCTGCATAGCCTCAATACAGGTAGTCCTGGTTGAATGACACAATTGGGATCAGCAGCTCAGTTGTTAAGCGAAGTGATTGCTAAATGAAACCATGACTGTGTTTGTGAACATATTTCAGCCTTCCTTTCTTATGTAGACCCATGAAGGTTCTAAATGTGAGGATTAGTCACAAAGTTACTTTTTCATCATTGTTGTAACTACAACTGGTTGTTAAATGAGGCAGTCATTAAACAAGGGTTATCTGTACAGCCCTGATAATTTTCCTGGATCTCTCCATAGCTTTTGATAATCTTGCCATTCTAGATTGCCTGGACTAGCCAGGCCTTGGGCCTACTTTTGACAGGCCCGGGCCTTCGGAACATTCCAAACAGTGGTGAGATTCAGCCAGTTCGCACCACTTTGGCTTAACCGATAGCTAATTTTTTGTTGCCCAGGCCCAGAATGGACTTCCAGAAGCGGCATCCACACAGAGAACCGGTTGTTCACATATTTGAATCCCACCACTGATTCCAAGGATGATGCTGAAGGACTATACTTAGATACTTAGAATGTTAAGTTATAGTGCTTCTCAAAATACATCTTATATCTTGTGGTGTTCAACATTTTCATGAAATTACTGGTGAGAGTGATCCAGAGTTTTGAAGTGAGGTATGCAGTTTGAAGCACACAAGTGTAAATAAGCAGAATTCTGTGCACTTCAGCTTATAGTCATGCTGACCACATGATCATGGCGGTGTCTTCAGACAACCCTGGCTCCCTTGGCTAGGAAATGGAGATGAGCACTACCCCCTAGAGCCGGACACAACTGGACAGGGGAAACCTTTACCTTTTGTGTTGATGATGCTCAACTCTACTGCTTCTTATCATTCAATTTCAAATAAATAATCAATATTCTTGAACAGACGTGAATTTATTGAGGCCTGGTATTCAACCAAAGGAGCAATTAACAAGCATATTGATCTAGATCAGGGGTGTCAAACTTGCAACATCACATGATGTTTGTGACATATCACAACTTTTTTGCCGTTGCTGGCAATGGGGTGGGTGTGGTTTCGCTATGATGCAGTCCTGATCTAGATCCAGTATATGAATATGCAAAAAACCAGATCATTTGAAGTGCCAATCAACAAGAAAGCCAATCAGCTGCTCAGAATTCAAGTATAGCTCCAAACAAACAACCAATCGCACGACCAATTGACCACACTGGCACACCAGACGTTTATAAGCTAAGGAGAACAGGACAAGAAAATCCTGCTGCTGCTGATGTTACCTAGTTTGGTAATGAAATGATCAGAAATTATATTGAAACAAGCTTGGAGAACAAACCACAGCCAACATTCTTGAACATTCCCTAAATTCAATAATGAAAGGAAGAATAAGGAGAAATTAAATCCAGACAAAACTGAGGTGCAATCGAAACATACAAAATCAGATGAGGTGCTCAGATTCAGCCTGTTTTGAAACAAGTTGTACTTCATCCGAAAAAAGCACACAGTATTTGCAATCTCACTCTCACTAAATTCTTAGATTGCAGCTGGAGCAAGGAGTGCCTTCATACCATCACTTTTAGTGTGCCAGCTGCATCTCTGTCTGAGCCAATTAGTTTTGGTGATAATTAGCTTCCATATGGATTATTTCCCAGCTTGGTTGCAATGTGGGTCTCCTCTAGAAAAAGTATTCAGAAGTTGCTCTTGGAGTAAAATGTGGCAATTAGGTTGCTACCTGGTGCAAGATATTGGAATCATATGATGCCTGAATTGGAAGACCTGTGTGATTGCCAGCTGCTTCCTGGCTACAATTTAACACTTCAACTATCAGAAGTAACCTTTAAAGCCCTCGATGGTTGAAGGCCTAACTATAGGGAACCATCTCTTTCCTCATGAATCTGAGCAGCTGCTGAGTGTGCCAAATACTTTTGCTATCAGGTGTTTCCATTTCTGGCTAGTCAGGTGAGGATCTTCTCTTCAGCTCTCAAGACTTTAGAACAGTGGTTCTCAACCTTTCTAATGCCGTGACCCCATAATACAGTTCCCCATGTTGTGGTGACCCCCAACCACTTATACATCACCAGGTGCCAGGGGCGTGGCCAAAGAAAAGGGGAAAAAAATGGCGGACAGCCGTGTCTGGCGACCCCCGTGAAATGGTCGTTCGACCCCAAATGGGGTCCCGACCCACAGGTTGAGAACCACTGCTTTAGAATGAATTTCCCTGGGAGTTGCATTGGGCTCCCACTCTTCCAGTGTTTCGGAAATCTGCAAAGATATGTCTTTTCAAAGACTTTTAACCAATAAACATGCTTAGTGTATATTTTGTAATTAGTTTTAGCATCTTTCCAACTTGCTATATTCTGTTTTTATTCTAAATTTTTGAAATTTTGCTCCAAAAGACACATTAGGGCTTATCTGGTTAGGTCTTATTTTCAGGGAAATACGGTATTAAATGCGTCCATCTGGCTGATGATCTTAACTGGGGCTTATTTTGGGAATGGGGCTTATATTACGAGCATCCTGAAAAATCATGCTAGGGCTTATCTTCCGGTTGGGTCTTATTTTGGGGGGAACACGGTACCTATGACTGAGCAATGGAAATCCTGTCTCTTTTTTTATTATGTTGTGTATAAAAATAATGTGAATGAGCCTAGGCTGACCATTAGAGATGGATGGGAGCAGTCATGGCTGACTGCAGTGCCTTTCCTTGCTGCCTAAGACCAAGTGAATGATTGACCTTCTTCTGGAGGAGCTAGCCAACTGTTTGAAAGTGATGTTCTCTCCCAGCATATGGCCTCCAGCCAAGAGAAAGATTGTCATCCTCCTGCTGATGTCCAGTGAGCTACAGGTGGCCAATTTGAGGTCACGAGTCAAGGACAGAGGGAGGTTATGCCACTCTCTCTTCAACCACAGGGCCCAGATTTGAACTTTTGGTGTGGATCCTGGGCAGGATAGTGTAGTTAGCATGAGAAAATTAACATATTGTGTGGCTACAGAAACCCCAGAATATCTTCTTGTGTAAGGATCATTTGAAAATAGATTCACTGAAAGCAGAATATTCAGTAAAATTCAGTAATGCTTGAAGCACAAATGTTTGGTTGTGGCCCTCCGTAAAAGTTTTTAAAAACCTAACAAATATTGAAAGTTTTGGGAGAATGTCAAAAGATATTTACAACTAAATTACAGTGCCTTTAGAAACTGGGTGTGTTTG